GTGCCTCCTGACCCAGCCAGGACATGAATACAAGGTAGGCTTAAGCAGAAAGGGTCAGGAAGGAAGATCTACTCACCAAAGTTCCCAGGATATGACATGAAATATCGATTCTGAACCAGAACAATATTCCTTGAATAGTGTCTACTGTAGCATCCTGAGCAGGAAGCTTTAGAGGAGTTATACCCAAAAGTTTGAGGCCCTAGCAGAGCCAGTCCATCTTGACTAATACTTGGTTCTGAGTAGCTGGCCTCCATATATTTGTCTGAATTACTTCTGACCTTTTCTATCTATGGTGACTAAGCTACTGAAGACTTCTAAATGAAACAAGGCACAAAACCATTTGATTTCCCCCTCAAGGCAAGGGAATTTTGGCTTTGCTGTTCTTCTCTTGACATGTACACCTATACAGACTGGTCTCCATGCCCAAGCTTTCTTCCCATCTAAATTCCTTATTTGGCTCAGTGCCAGCCTGCACGAGTACCATGCCTTGGCAAATGTCACACACATACTGTTTATAGAGCACTCCAAAACACGGCTGAGAGATCACTTCTTTCAAGGAGATAATCTCATACATGCTTCTTCCTGTTATTACGCCTGACAAGACAGACTTCTCTCCATGGCTGGGTGGATTCCTGATTCATGGTACAGCACCAGGAACTGATCAAAGAGCTCTGTAGCACAAAAATGTGGTACTAATTTATGCAACTAGCCAAGACTAACATACTTGACCAGTGAAACCCCACTGGTAAAACGCCACATGGTATTAAGATATAGCATATACTGCTCTGCAAAGTCCCCCAGTTTTTCAGCTGGTTATGACTATTTTAATATAAGTATTATAAGCTTTTCAATAATATATGTATTTTTAAAAAAACCTCATAAACTCCCTAGTCAGTCATTAAAAAGCTGCAATTCTGAATTTCGCTTTTACTGCTATGCTTGGATCAGTTATGACTTTCTCCTTTAAAAACAGACCCCCCCCCCCCAAGAAATTAAACCTAACGTACACCTTGCAACAGTTAAAGGGAGAAAGGAAAAATTAATTACTGGGTGTAAAGAATACTTTACACAGCAGCATTGGTCATCAGATCTTCCCTAGTCAAAGTCCTATCCCGCTGAGTTAAAAGGGCCAAGGTCTAGCACAGAATCTGTGATGCGGTTGCCTTTCCCCCTCTCAGAGGGAAAGCACAATATGCAAAACACTATATTCCTACATTTTATAATTAATTTTCAAATGCTTCACCTATACATAGTTTAATAATTTCTGATTTATCTGATGGTATCTATAATAATTTTTTCTATATTTCAATAAATGAAAAGAAGGCTGTTTCAATCCAACAACAGTGTCATACAATATAGGCCTGTCAGACACGATTTTTTTTTTAAACTTCTAACATGTAAGTTAAAGGATAAGGAATTTATAATGCTGCCTGTGAACGAAACCACTTTTCATACACAAATGTGATCTCCCCCCCAAAAAAAGGGTAATACAACAGTACATTTACATAAACTAATCCAAACAATCTATGTATTTGACAATGGCAAACCTCACACAGACCAGCTATTGTTGGTTTACATCTTGAAGTTCTTTATGTTGGCTTGTAACACTGCTCTGGCTGTCAAAGGTTTGACTTGGACTCTAAATAAATGGTTATACAAGTGCTGTGCAGCGATATTGGACTTCTTTGCAAAAGAAAACCTGCTGCGTATGAATTCAAAAGCTATTAATTTTTCAGTCAAAAATATTCATGCCTATTTCTTTTAATAGAGAAACACTGCGCTGAGCAACTGAGAGATAATGTTGACTAGTGGTACAGAATTTTCAATAGAGCAGTTAAAAATAAATTTAGTAGGAGGTCCCCATCAAAGCTATAATTTTCCAGAATGTAAAACATTTTTAATACTAATCAAGACAGTGCATCCTCCCCTGATCACTCCCCCCCCCCGCTTTTCCTACTGCTTTTTCCTGTTTATTTGCTGTATTAGCAATACTTGTGATAGCACCCCCAACTGTTATTTCTGGGGCTCCTTAACAAAAACTACCAGATTTTCGGCAGGAGCTCACTGGTCAAACTGGCTTCACACTAACCCCTCATTTTGTCATTCCCTTCCCTATAGATTATAATCCCTGTGAGGACACAAAATAGCCTTCGAACTGCCTTTCCACCACTTGCAAGGATCTGTTTCATTACTACTGTGAGGGCTAATGTTCTGTATGCACCCGGGAGTGCTGCCGCTACAATGTGAGAGGGACATGCTCTGCTCTGCATCATCTCACATGCACAATGGTGCAAAGCCCCTTCTACTACATTGCAAAAAAAAAAAAAAAAGAGGAAGGGAGGCATGTTGTGGGCTGAAGGAAAGGGGGGGGGGAATAACAGGTAGAACATTTCATGAGATGCAAGCTTCCCTGCTAATAACTGGGCCACAGCAGGAGCTCCTAGGACAGAAAGCTGGTGTCCTGCTACTAAACTCTTTCAAAGCAGTTCTTTCTGTTTACTGCACCTACATCATTCAGTGCTTTGGAGAGAGAGAGAGAAGGAGAACCCCCTAAAAAGTCAGTTGTCAAAACTACTGTGGCGCGGATTTACATAAAGCTGCAGACTACTGAAGTGCAACAAGGAGAAGGTATGTCTCTTGGCAGCACACTATACTTAAAGAGTTTTCAACACGCCAAAAGAATGGATTCTGCAGAAAAGCCCTTAATGAGACAGACATAGAGTAAAGCGAGATCAAGGATTCTAATGAAATGTTTGATCTAACATTAAAAATAGCCCATCTGTTAAAATCTGTCCAGCACGCTCTAAAGCGACAGAGGCAAACGTAGCATTTTCTTTAACGCACCTTGCATTTATTTTACTCCGAACGCTTTAAAATTCCTAATTGCTTCATGTGATTATCCCAAATGGAGGGAGTGATGTGCTTCTTGATTTTAAGATTTGTAAGATTTAAAGGTACACTGCCTTTATTTGATTTTTTTTTAAACTTTGAATGACGTGAAAATTAATTGAGCGTGGCCAGGCTAATCAATATGCAACGATGCAGCGTGATGGCAAACCACTGGTTTACCTGTTTGGGCTTTTCCTGCCCTCTGTAAATAAAGCAAACACACACTTGTGTATGTCTGATTTATGGCGATAGAAATAAAAAAGGAGTCAGACTATTAACCCAGCAAATATGGTAGCCTGCCGAGATGCAGTTGGTAGACAAAAATTAATGTCTGAAACAGAACACATTACACATTACAGAGATAGTGAACATAAAATCATTAAACACTCTGCACTCTCTTTTCCCTAGAAAAGAATTTCTATTTTTGAGGTTGCATGTGAAATAAATAGCTGTAGAGGGAGGCAGGGAGACCGCTTATGGGAGCAAAGCCTTCTAAGATAGGAAGCAGTTGAGCTTTCCAAACAGACCTTTCCCTCTGTTTTAGAGCAGGCTGTTATATGTATTCAAAAATGGTCACAACTTGCTTTAATCTTCTTTTTGGCTAAGGTTGCAGTCATGTAAAGTCAGGTACATCTACAAGACCTTACTTATGTACTGGTCATAACTATATAAAAAACTGTATTCTTCACTCCCCCCCCCCCGGTGCCATGCAAAGAAGACTATGTTAAGAACATAGGAAGAGTGCTGAAGATCAAAAGTGACAGTACATCTACTCCAGCATCCTTTTCTCTCCGGTGACAAACCAGAAGCCAATATACAGGGTAACCTACTGTTGCCCCAACCAGTGTTCCCTCTAAGCTGAGTTAGTGTGAGCCAACTCACAGTTTTTTAGCCTCCGGCTCACACATTTTTGTCTTAGCTCAGAAAGGACGGCTCCAGAGCAAACTAATTTATGCAGTCGCCAAATCGCTCGCTCACAACTTTAATGCCAGTAGCTCATAAAGTAGAATTTTTGCTCACAAGACTCCACAGCTTAGAGGGAACATTGGCCCCAACTGGTACACTGCCTCTCAGTACGGACATTTCATTTAGCCACATGGCTAACAGCACTTGATGGACCTAGCCTAGTCTTTCAGTAATTTATATGAAGTCATGCATACCTTAAAAAAAAAAGAGTGGAAGGAATTAATCTCACTATCATAAACACACAGTGTGAAAACAGTAGGGGGTATTTTAACCTGCTGACATTCTTGTAGACTTACCTAGAACAGAAGGATATACACCTGTTTAAATGGAATACAGAGTTGTGTACACTCTGCACAGTGAAAAACAGAAGAAGACTTCAAACATTCAAAGAGTTTGTTAAAAGCTAAGAAGTGACTGGATGTCATCTACTATATTATAAATGTTAAATAAATATTAAATGAAGATCCTCTTCGTCACAGTCAATCTGTTGATATCCATGCATGGAAAATGTGAGCTGAAGATGAAGTAAGTGCTAGAGTACACTGGAGTGGATTCAAAGGCGTCCTGCACGCAGAAGGCTTCCTCTACACACGCAAGGCCTGTTTTACACCTTTCGTTAGTCCTCTGTGCGAGAAAAGTGAGCCCAAACCCAAAGATGCTCATCTGCTAACACAAAAGCATGCTTGACTACAGATGTACTACAGCAGTGAGAACTACTTTAGAACCTACCTGCTGCTGTAGCATTGTCCGAATAACCACGCAGGCTCTTGCAGAACAAGTACTAGTGGGTTTGTTATAAGTGCTAGTGGATTACAATCAATGGGCAGAGACTGAAAAAAGACTGCACAGGACTGCACTGCCAATCTGGCTGGGGTCTTCCTTAGATGCAGGACAGGGGCAAGCCTAACCAGGTCTATTCAGAAGTAAGCCCCATTTTTATTCCAGCCTGAATTTCTATAGAGTAACTTGGAAAAAATACTGGGTTTTAGACAAAAATTGTTCGTATTCTGGGCCTGATGGACTGGGGAAATAACCGTTTTCTGTTGATGGTCGTTTTAAACAGACTGGGCTTGATACTGAGGCCTAAGATGAGGCACACAAAACAAAGGCTGTCGCAAAGCTCTCTTTTCTTCACAGATACTTACAGGCTGAGGGGTAGCTTTTGGTTCAGTCGACTTCACGTGCAGGTGTGTCATCATTGCTTGCAGGCGTTCTTTGTCTTTTGCCAGCTGAACAAGAGAAAGAATTCAGAAAGTTCTTATTTTTTGGGCGAACAGAATCCAGAACTGTATTCTTTTTCCTAACGAAGCCCTTGGCACTGGAGCTGGTATATTACAAAAACAACCCCCAACCCCCAAAGCTATTATTTCTTCAGCAGTCTGGAAATGCTATATGGTTCTCTCTCTCTTTTTTTTTGAAGCGAAACAAAACTCTGGGTGCTGGGTATCAGCCTTTCGCAGAGCAAAACACATTAGCTTTCGACTGAAGCAGCTCTAGACCTGATGGCACCAGCAGGTTCACTGCAGCATCAACAGCTAAAAAGACAATAATGAATCATATTTACTAGGCAACCCTACCCCAATTCATGTTCAGGAGACAGAGCATAAAGGAGAATTAGGGGGCCAGGAGAAGGCTTTGTCTTGATTCAGCGTTCAAGACAAAACTAGAAAATGCCCCCTTTCTCTCCCTCTCTCTCTCTTTTGCCAACCTTCAACTGTCAAGGTGTATAACCTGTATTCTGGGCTTATGAAACACCTGGACAGACTCAACTTTCATGTAAAATAAGCTTCTAGTCCTCACTGTTTCATAAAGTACCGGAAAACACATAGATTGGCTATGATACAAAGTCAGTGTTGCCACCCTAACTGATAAGGACCAAGGAAACCAAAGCCTTTAGTTTGATTGACCAGCAAGAAAGGCGGTTACCCTTTTCTGGCTACTAAATGGCAAGAGAGTTTTTAAATTTTTCTTTGTCAATGATATCTCTAATTTTACCCTCAAAGGACTGAACCTGTAGGAGCAATGTGTATGCTTGCATTATGCTAGCAAAGGTTAAAAGGCAAGCAGGACTTTCCAGGGACGTGCCATTCTTATTTTATAAATCATCTATGTGGGCAATGTGGGTTATGTATAAGGACGAAGGTTGTTCAGGATCAGGAGAAAAAGCCTAGAGGATGGGGGGAAGGAAATGGGGGAAAGTGAGATGAAGTAGAAGAACAAGAACAGCTATTCATAGGGGAGTCCCCAAAAGTGATCTTTGTTGCACTTGAGGCTTTGGTGGCTACACTGTGTTAATTCATTGATATCTATTTAACTTTTTTATACAGATCATATACTTTATGGGATTAGTCTTCTTTGCAGCATGGCATGTAAAATGTTACTAATACAGGTGACTAAGGAACATAGCCACCAGCACCAACTGATGTACAGATTCTCCTTAACTCCATTCAGACAACTGCTTGTTGGCTGTCAAGAACAGGGGATGGTCCAGCTTGTACAGTTACAAGGCCAGCGATCCTCCTTTCATGGTACAGGGCTTTCATGGTACATGCATCCCTCTCTTCCACCATGCCCATACAAGTAGAGTTGTCAGTCCCCAGGTACCAGCTGGGGTTCCCCTGGTTTTCAGGGCTTTAGCCCACTGCTGGCAGCTGGCCAGCAGGGGAAATCCCACCTACAAACAGCGACATCGCTGTGTGATGTCCCCAATGCAATGAGGTCACCCGGAAGTGATGCCATCACGTCAGGGACATCGCATAGTGACGCTCTGGTCTGAGGGCAAAGCTCTATGGTTTGAAGCCACTTTTGCCCCAAAACCAGGGTGTCTGGGTAACGTCATCATGTCGGGGACATCCCGGAACACCCCGCAAGTCCCCCTGCTGGCGTGACGAGGGGACCTGGCAACCCTACATACAAATGAAAATGGGACTTCTGTTTCTTTCCCCCCAAAAGAGAAAGGGGGCTTCCTTATGCACATCTGGACTTCTGTACAGAGCCCTCACTTCAAATGCTATATTATGTGTGGTAGAAGGGGCCTCCACCACATAAAGAGAATTGCTGACTGCATAGGCCAAAAACCAAGTCTGCACTAGCCCCATGGAAGTTTTGAGCTCCCCCCCCCCTTACATCTTATTATCATGCCATATCAAAACTACCCCGAGTCGCAGACATCTCAGTTTACAATGCTGGTTAAGAAAATCCAGGGTCAACCTACATGTTATGGCAGACACAGGTAAGGTCCTGATCAATGTTCCTTCTAAGCTGTGGAGTCTTGTGAGCAAAACTTCTACTTTGTGAGCTACTGGCATTAAAGTTGTGAGCAAGCAATTTGGCTGCTGCATAAATTAGTTTGCTCTGGAGCCATCCTTCCTGAGCTAAGACAAAAATGTGTGAGCCGGAGACTAAAAAACTGTGAGCTAGCTCACACTAACTCAGCTTAGAGGGAACAGTGGTCCTGATGGGATCCACACTGTGGCAGCACCAGGTGATGTTCTTGTTCCTCTTGCCTTTTCAAGTGCTGAAACAGCTGGTGGGGCTGTTTCAGTGCTTGAAAAGGCATGGAAGGAGGAAACAAGATTGCTTTTTGCCACTGCGCTGTGGGCCTAGTCAGGATAGTGACCTCATGGCAATTTTTTTAATGGTTAAATTTCCCTATAAAATGGCATTGGCGGCCACAGGTTGGAAACATGTCTGCTGTAATATGCGATGTGGCTCCTAGTCTAAAGCCTCCAATGGGCTCCAATGGGCTCCAATGAACTATGTATATTGGACCAACTATGAGAGAAAGAGTATTAAGTCGGTTTCCTGCATACAAACACAGCATAACCACTGGTGATATACTGCTGTGTAGAAGCTAGCGCCAAGCCTTTTGTAGGAAGTGGCTCATCAAGCAGTTTCAGCATTTTTACCCCTCTACTAAAATTTGCCATATTCCCTAATCTCTATCCTTCAGAACTTGCCTCCTATCTTCCGCCTCATTTTCAAGTCATGCATGAAGCTTTTTGTACATATTTAGACACTCAAGGCAAAGTAATCCTGTAGATATTTTATGTCCTGTAATGCAAGCTGAAATCTTACCCTATCAATATTAACCAACAGAGTTAGGATAGTTGTGACAGGATTGAAGGAAATGGGGAAGTAGGGCTGTGGGTCAAAGTAGAGTAACCTGTTGCTAGTATCCATTCTTCTGCTCTTGGACAAGAAGAGCAAGGCCCTTATGAGAGCCCAGCCTTCCCTGACAATGAAAAATGCCTGGACAAGAACACTCTCCATTACCTGTTCCACCACTGCCTCTGGCACTTGGTTGCTATATAAAGTAACTTTGAAAACAACATGAATGAGATATGCTAATTCAGCATGTCCAATTTGCATATTAATAATTTTCACAAGTATAAATAGTTTAATATGCAAATCACACACTACCTGGATTTGTGAGGATATGGCAAGCTCTAAGCAAGAAAGGTGACCAATACCCCACTCTGCCCATCCCATCTTCGGCTCCATACCAGCTTCCCTCGCTTATACACTGGTAGACAAAATTCAGGAGAAAAAAAAACTGATTTACGATATGCTTCCCTGCACTTCCTGAGGGCAACTTCACAAAACAAAACACCCCCCCGCTGATTACAGTATTACCAAAAGTCCCCCCCCCCCCAGAAGACAGTGTTATCAAAAGAAGTTATCAAAAGAGAGGCAAGCTGCAGTAGTGGTCACTGTGACGTTTAATTTTAATTATTCCTACGTCTAATCCTTGTCCTATGAAACTACTAAAAAATGTAGTCTTCTTGTTTTAGTTGCTAACTTTTTATGGCCGGTATCTAATGAATAAATTTTGGGCCAAATTGTATTTTAGGAGCACATGCCCACATAAGCAAATGCTTAGAGTCTGGGCAGGAATTTAAAACTGCAAGCCATGAGGAAGAGCCTCCTGGTTTCAAAGCAGGAAACAGAAAGTGGAGAGTGTCAAGGGATTCTTTAGGCTGTTTTTCCACAGGTCAAGAAGCACCACCAATCTGAACCCATAACTCCATTAGCAACTCCCTGCTGTTCAGTTAGATCATTCAAAAGGAGTCACGAGGGCTTGAGAGGCCACGGACGTGAGCGCGCTCTCATCAGCATGGCACCAAAGAGGGCTCCTAAGGTCTGACAATGGCATCTGTTAATGGTATTGTAGGGGAAATTGCACTCGCTTATTAACCACGGTTCTTTTAGGAGGCAGTGCAAAGGAGAGAAAAATACAAACTGATATATGTTCTTGTTACAGTGTTGCCAAATGGCCTTAGAGCGCCATCTCTCTAAATGAAGCGCCATCTCTCTAAATGAACCAATCTTCACAGAAATGTTCAGGGGACTAAATGAAACTGTAAGGTATTTCATACCCCAACAAGTAATACAGAAATGTTTGTTAAACAGTAGCAGCAATAGTAAAAGGAGCTAAGAGGAAAGGAGCTATTCGCCTTTTTAAAAAGGCACCAGCCTGTTTTCTTCTGAGCTTATCCCAGTGACAAATACATTATCACCTTGTGGTTATGCAATGAGCGTCTTAGTATACATAAGCAGTAGCAAATGCATGACTGAAGCAAAATATACACTTTTTTGTTATCAAATCACAGCCGAATATGGCAGCCCCACACGGTTTTCAAAGCAAGAGACACTCAGAGGTGGGTTGCTATTGCCTGCCCCTGCGTCATGACCTTGGTATTCCTTGGAGGTCTCCCATCCAAATACTAGCCAGGGCCAACCCTGCTTAGTTGCTGAGATCTGACAAGATCAGGCTAGCATGGGTTATTATTCCTTTGTAATTACTTTCCCCCGTAGTACCTTGGTTGTTGGAAACAGATATCTGCTTTGGCTCTTTATTCACTTCAGTGTTTGGCTCACGAGCTGATAATCACATTGTGGATCATGTATTAATAGGCTGTCTGACTCCAACTTTAGCTTGGTTCTAAATAATCAGGCTACATAAAAATCAACAGAATGATATGGCACAGCAGCTCCTTACTAGACTTCATCCGACAAACAAAAAGATTGATGCTGTCAAGATCTGACAGCACCAAACATCTGTTCAGCAAAATGAGCATTCACCAATGAATGCTGGATGTGACTTACCCTCTGCATAGTATCTTTGCTTACAAATAGGTCCTAAGCCAGAAATGGGATCCACGCACAGAAAAACCTTTTCTGCGCACGGTTCACTCTGGTTCCATCAGGGCAGGTGAATTCATTCAAG